GTGATATGATAGCATTTTTTGCTTTTATTTAGCATTTTATTTAGCAAAACTATAGTTTTATGGAGAAGAAAATGAACAAGTCTTTTCAGACGTTAATCATTTAATAACTTTAACGATCATATCTAAATTTTTCCTTTATTTTATAACGTACAGGAATTGAAATTCATGTTAGGGAATATTTGCGAGTCAAGACAACTCAGTTTTCAGGCCGAAGTACGCGCAATTGAACTTGTTTAAGAGAATATAAAGGCAAACTCATCACGGGGAAAAACATATATATTTTCTCTGACAGCAATTCAGCACTCCTAGCACTACACTCACCTTGAGTGACTTCAAAACTAGTGTGGGAATACCTTCAACTTCTCAAAGATCTTGCTGTAAGAAACGGGGTTCACTTAATATGAATACCAGGACACAGAGGATTTGAAAAAAACAAGAAAGCGAATGAATTAGCCAGGGCTAAGACCATTCTGCGGTCCTTCATCGAGCTTTTCCAAACTTAAAATAATTGAATGGCAAGAAAAAGCAGATTAGACTGATGGATATAATGTAATTACCTGCAGACATGCCAAGGTATTCATATCAAATCGATCAAAAGCCAGGGTTTCTTATTGCACATTGCGGAGTCAAAAAACATCTATCGAATCTAGATATTACAAGGGACGATAGCTACAGACATTATCACGAAGAAAAGGAAACAGCAGAGCATGTTCTATGTTACTGTGATAGTCTCTCTAGATTCAAACTTCGGTACTTAACTACTTGTTACCGCACTTATTACCGAATTAGACAACAAATCTCTAAAGGATATAATAGCATTTTAACTGTACGCGGCTATCGGACTGTAATGGGTTTGTCAGAATAAAAGATACAGTGACATGGTGACATAATTCCTAACTTTTTTAAAATTTAATCTTAATCTAAGCTAGTTGGTCACTACCAACGTGAACCATCCTTAACTGCGCCTAGTAGCCTCTTCCAGGCAGCTCAATCAGTGGCTTGCTTTCGCCAATTGCAAGATGAGATAAAAGAGAGAATAAAGAGCACAAGCGTCACAAAATATAACGAAACCTGACCGATAAGGTGTTTAAGTTAATTAAAAAGCATACATATTAATATACAAGCATACAAACATATGAGACCAACGGTGGTCTCATATTTCCTTCACCGAGTATTTGGTTGCCACTTCTGGGTTTTTTGCCAGCAGTTTTAATGGGGAAACAGAAGAGCTAATAAATGCCTTTTGTACTAGCTACCTAAACGACGAGGTGTAGAGATAATAATTCAAATGTCATAAGATATAACGAAACTCGACGAGGTTGTTGGGTATAAAGTAAGATTGTTGAGGTCTAGCTATTGATGGGCCAACGAAAGAAGCTGTAGTGAGAATATGAAATGGGAAAACATAAATAGAATGTCTCAACGGGAGTTAGTTTGATATGATTTAAGAGCAGTGGGCATACAAAAAGTTTTTTTGGAAGTACCTGACCACGTCGGACCTTTATGCTAAGAAAGAGGAAGAAAACTTCACGTTAGTACTTTACTTTTACATACATAATGGAATAGTTCATATACTATTTTTTTTTGCAAATATATATGATTAATAATACAAGCAAAATAAATAATCCTACATTTAAAATTGTTATTAGTTCATGAACAAAAAATGCAGTAAATTATAATTTAAAGCATTGAATACTAAATCCAATGAGTAACGAAAGCAACCAATTATCGCGACTAAAAATTGCTAAGATACTAAAATTAACTAAGGAATATTTATTTAAATGGACATCGCCCCTTAACTCACTCGGGCAAGAAAATATAATGACTTTGAGTTGTCATGCTTAGTCATTAGCTAAAATAACAGTTTCGTATATAAAATAAAATATAGCAAATTTGTCTTAATTAGCAAAACTTATTTATTTTTTGATTTTAGTTGCCTTAAACAAATTACTAAAATAAAATGTCAAATAAATGAAACGGCAAACAAAATAAATGAAAAATCGAAATATAAACGATTTTAGATCAAAAGAGTTTAGTAAGCTTTTAATGCAGTGCTGTGTGAATTAGCTGAGCTAAAGTTGGATAGTGGAAATGAAATAACGCAAAGCAAAAGTCACAAAGGATTTGGTGCCAAAGCGAAAACCTCACAGTCAGCGAGCGAAACGCGTAAATCAACTGTCAAATGTCAGAACACATGAAACAAGTATGCCAAACCCGCTCCTCTCCTCTCCGGCCCAAACATAACGATGGATATTCTGTGCCGTTGCTGATGCTGCTGCTCTTGCCAGTGTTGCTGTTGCTGTTGCTGTTGCTGTTGCTGCTGTATGCCAGCAATTACAAGCAACATTTGCTGAGACATTATAATTTACTGAAGATAGAGATTCCTGTGGTGCAGTCAAATTTATAAATGCTTTACAGATGCGTCAAATATGTTTTTTAATTGGTGGTGTGAGTATGTATGTATGTATATATGCGTTTGTATATATTATTTAATATATATAGTAATTTTATATTTAATGTATATTTGTTTAGTTTTTGTTTTTAGTTGAAACAATTTAAATGAGCGGTAAAGATGGATTCTAACGATGAGCACAGCAAGGAAACACATTTGTTCCGTTACGTTCAATTAAACCGATGCTGCAAATATATTTTTTTACTTTATTGTACTTTCCATGTCCAATAAGTTGTGTAAAATAGTTCTTATGCTTTAGTCAAAAAAAAACCACACAAAAATTAGTATGGAATTCCTTCAAATTCTTAAAGACCTTACTGAAAGGAAAAAGGTTTACTTAGTATGGATCCCAGAACACAGCGGACTTATGGAAGACGAGAAATCCGAAAAGAGGCGGCCTCATATTATTTTGAGCCAAAACTATTCTGTGATCCTTTACAGAACTTTTTCAGACTTAAATTTAATGAATGGCTGGAAAGAGGAGCTCAGACTGATTGGGGTAATGTAATTTCTTGCAGACAAGTTAAAGAATTCATGCCGAATCGATCAAAGGCCAGAGCTAAGAAGCTTTAAATGCTTAACAGAAATGGCATTCAACTTGTGACAGGGTTTCTTACGGAACATTGCGGAGTAAATAAGCATCTAACAAATCTAGGTATTACAAAAGACAGTAGAGTAGAACACATTCTGTGTCACTATGATAGTCTCAGTACTTATCAACTGCTTATCGACTTAAAACCGAATTAGGCAACATAAAGTGGATGTGGCGCAATAATCCTCAAAGGATGCAGTAACGTGATGACAAGTTCCCAACCCGTTTAAAATCTATCTAAAATAATTTGATGTTTAAAATGGCTTAAGGATACTAAAAAGATTTAAAATATTACGTTATGTTATTTCCAAATATGGTAATCTGGTTTATGAAGTAACTATTCAAACAAAGTTTATATAGTCCCAGTAAATAATAAGAACAAAAAGAGGCGTTGGTAATATTGACATATTTTTCTAATCTATCTTCTATTTACACTACTTACCTTAAGATAATGTATGGCTTAATTTTATACATAAAATTCAATTTCATCGCTGTAGTAGGGAAAATGTTGTGAACTTAATTTTTTTTTCGCCTATAAATATGCA